AGGCTGGCTTCGAACTCACAGAGATCCACCTGCCTCTGCCTCCCGAGTGTTGGGATTAAAGGCATGTGCCACCACTGCCCGGCTCTTACAGATTATTTTTTAAGGTGAAGTCATGTTATGGTTTTGTAAATGTCTGTGATAATGGACAGGAATAAAGTCACTTACTTGAGAGCTTAATAAAATGAACAATTCCTATTATTCTCACCGCCTTTTATATATTGTTTAGCTGGCAACAATTGGTGAGAACCCCTCCTCCTGGTTGGCTCTCTCCTGACAATCACCTGGGGGAATTCCCCACAAGTAAGGCTTTTTGTCTCTCAGACTCCATGCCCCAACAATCCGCTCACCCAACCCTTCATTTCTTAGGTCTAAGTGTCCTTCAGGCTCATCCCTTCAGCCTCCATGCCTTCTTGTCTTTTGGACTCACGTCCTTCCTCTCAGCACCCCAGTAAAGCACAATTAACAAAAACTCAGAGACAGATACTGGAGTTCAAACTCAAGGTCAGAGAAGCAAAAAGGCCAACCACTGGCTCTTACCTCTACCTCAGTCAGAAGTGGCTATCCTGCCTTCAAGAATCTCAGAATGAGACTGTGTCTGAGAGCTGTCTCCTGCTTTATAATCTTCTCTAATTCTGGGGTTAAAGGCGAACACCTCTGGGATTAAAGGCATACACTGCTCAAATTCTATGGTAACTAGTATGGCTACTGGGATTAAAGGTGTGTGTTACCACTGCTTGGTCTGTGAGGCTGACCAGTGGGGCTGTTTCACTCTCTGAACTTCAGGCAAGCTTTATTTATTAAAATACAAATGAGAGGCCACTACACCCTTGCCCTCATTTTTTTGGCTGACAAGCAGTAAAATGACTTGTGCCGTCATTATTGAAATCTTTCTGTCTAACTCATGGGAAACAATTTTAAAGGTATCTTGACTTCAAAATTTAAGTTTAAGGATATGCTACTTTGGAGAAGTGGTTCCGCTTTTGCTTCCGCAGAAGAGGAAAACCTGCTGATTACTTCTAGACTAGTATTGTTTGATGGAACAAAACCCCTGAAAGGTCTCCATGAACCCTAAAAATACTTCACCCAACAAACAGCAGGAAGAAGTTTGGAGAGAACTATGCCCCAATTCCCAAAATAATTGTTTATAAATGTTTAAAGGGGATTGATTAAAAAAAGGGGGGGTGTATGATATAATATAGGAATGAACACTTTACCGTGGTATGGACTTTGGTTTATTGACACAAATTTAAGATCAATTTTGTATATGTATATTTCTACTCTTATTTAAGGTATTATGTTTATACAGCTCATTTAAAAATATAATGTATAATTAAAATACATATAATTAAAAATAGATAATTATCTATAATAGTCAAACTTGTAGTCATATTAGATAGGTTTTCTAGATATACAGAGATATATTTCAGATGGATAGGTAGTCTTCAAATCTTTCAAAGCCCTACAGAATATGGCATTTAAAAAGTTTTAAGAACTTAGACTTTTCTTGACAGTGAGACATGTCTGCTTCTGGCAGCACCAGTTACTTCAGAGAGGTTGATGGGGATTGAAAAAACTCATTATGGAATTTGCCTTCAATATGACAAGGCTAGCTATTTTGCAAGAAACTGTTTGATGGTATGCTGTATGAACTGGACATGCAGGACACACAAAAAAGTGACTGCTGAACTTTCCAAAAGACGGTCCTTCAGGATTCCTGCTACACACACACACACACACACACACACACACATACACACACACACACACACACACACACACACACACACACACCAAAAACACCCTGCCAGGCATTCTACAGAAAACAGAAGAAAGAAAGAAAAAGAAAGAAAGAAAGAAAGAAAGAAAGAAAGAAAGAAAGAAAATGACGAACTTTGCCAGTACAAGGCTAAACAGGTCTTCAAATTTCCTGCTTCACTGAAAAGTCTGCCAGATATTATGGGCCTGTAGGCTGAAGATGGATGATCCAATGTTACAGAAGAATTTTGGGTGACTGTCCAGGCAGCAAGAAGTCTCTGCCAATTGTAGAATTTTGGAAGTTGTTTACAATGCACTTCCTGTTTACTTAGATAATATTATATCCTTCTAAGGTCTTTGATGGAGTTAAAGATAGTTATAGTTGGCTGGGCGGTGGTGGCGCACGCCTTTAATCCCAGCACTCGGGAGGCAGAGGCAGGCGGATCTCTGGGAGTTCGAGGCCAGCCTGGTCTACAAGAGCTAGTTCTGGGACAGGCACCAAAGCTAAAGAGAAACCCTGTCTCGAAAAACCAAAAAAAAAAAAAAAAAAAAAAAAAAAAAAAAAAAAAAAAAAAAAAAAAAAAAAAAAAGATAGTTATAGTTAGTGTTCCTTAGTTATGATGAAAGATAAATTAAACATAAAGCTTTAAAGCTTTAGACTCACAAAGATAGGATAAATAGCAGAGTATTTTCCTTCACTTACCAAATATAAATAGGCTAAATATTGTAACTATAATTCTTGCTTGATAACTGTATTGTTATATGTAATTTTGCTATGTTAAAGTTAAAACCTTTCTTTTTATTTAGACAGAAAAAAGGAGATTAATAGAAATAGGTTAAATTAAGATGTAAGAGCTAGATAGAAATATGTACAAACCATTGGCCAAACAATGTTGTAACTAATACAGTTTCTGTGTGATTATTCGGGTCTGGGCAGTTGGGAAATGAAGGCGCAGTCTCTGCCTACACATAGGAAACAAGTCAGTAAGTGGCATTCCTCTGTGATCTGCTGTTCCTGCCACCAGGTTCCTGCCTTGAGTTCCTGCCCTGACTCAGATTCTCTCTGCCTGCATTGTGGGTGGAAGCAGTGGAAAGTGTAGTTCCTCAGAAGTCCCTAAGAGTGGCTTTTCCCAAATAGAACTCAACATTACCCATCTTGCCCTTTTTTTCCTTCCCTGGGAACCTAAAACACTTGGGGTCTCTGTCCCACTCCTAGAATTTCCTTGCCCTTCCTATTTGACTGTGGTTGATTTTGAATCATCAGTCCCTCCAAGTGATCATTTCTGGCTTAGCTCTATGTCTCTTCCGTGAACTCCACAACCAAGTAGGCGGCTCCAGCATTGGTAGTCGTACCTCAGCGGGCTCCACTTTCGCTGGAGAAGTCCTGCGGGAGCCCGCTGATGTCCTGGAGATTCCTGGAGATGAGCCTGGTCCATAGCGGCGAGACAAAGTCAGAAGTAGTGTGTAGTATATCTCTGATGTGACGGGCATGGGCCACCGGGATCCATACAGGTCCAACAAGCCGCCAGTGGCCCTCATAGGACCAACAGCATCATCTAATGTTCCGGTTGACTGCGGACGCGGACACTAGAGCTGCACAGCACAATCCCCACTTCCACCCTAGGAATCCACCTCCAGACTCACCTTTGCCAGTTGGCCACTTCCCCAAAGAGCCACCTTCCTCTTTGGGTCCCGCCTCTTCCCCGACCCCACCCCTGCACTCCTCCTCTCCTTGCCTCCCTTTGGGACCCACTGATCCTCGCCATTTAGGCCACACCCAGGCTTGGACTGAGACATTGCCTTATGGAATAACAATACACAGTTGGTGGCGAGCAACGACCACCACCCGGGCGCCGGCCACCGGTTCAAATTGAGGCTGCCTCCAGAAGGCTTGCATCTTGACGCGGTAGCGGCTGAGAACGCGGGAACGGGAGGCGCCAGCGTGCAAAGAGTGAACACTGGGAGGAGCCAGAGTATCTGAATGGTGGCTTGAGGTCAGCCACAGCCCCCCCCCGACCTGAGTGGTACCTGCCGCCCGCAGCATCTTGGGTGCCTGGGGATCTCGACGGGGATCAGAACCGGGTACCATAATAACCTGGGCTCTACAGGTGGCTAGGGAAACCCGGGGTGCCATTTACTGCCTGACCATGACTGAAGCTGTGAAAAGCATCCCAGGAGCTGCTCCTCAATCCAGACAAGCCTGGGTGCCAGCCGTGGGAGGAGCATTTGGCGATCCCAGGGTCCTGGCCCGGTTCCAGGATTGTGACAAGTGACTACATGTGGACCTGTGTGTGCCACAATTCCCGACATTGTGTAGTGCCTGACTTGACCTGTCCTTTAACTTGGTCCGTGTGATGACTCAGCATTGTTTTGGTCACAGGGCAAGGCTTGCGGAATGACAGTACATGTGACATGTGAGATGTTCATGTGACCATATGGAAATTCTCACATACCTGACCCTCCCAGTGACATGAGTGTGACTCCACGTGTGTGCATCACTGTGGATGACAGGATGCAATGTCACTAGCCCATGGGACGTGGAAGAACCTTTCCCCGTCACGGGTGGTCTGTGGCTTTCTGGCATCTTCAGTAAAGTTCTCAGTTCTGTATCTACTGGCATTGGGGCCAGGGGTGTGCTAGGATCCCCTGCTCCCCGCAGCTGGATCCAGATTCTCTAGGACCTCTGTAAATCTCCTCTCTGCCCTAACCAAAAGCACAGCTGGTTAGAGGGGGAAGTAGCTGGACCTTGGTGTTAGAGGTGAGGAGGCTGAGACCTGCCCAAGCTGGAACTGGCCTGGGCTCTCCTGGCCATACTCAACCTTCTAGTACAGAATTTCTAGGGCTAATGGCAGAACCTGGGTGGCTGTGACCCTCATGACATTAAACTTTGCTGTTTCAGTATCCAGGCTTGCCCAAAGAAGGCTGGGGTCTGCTGGAAGGGTCCTATGGTCTATAGGTTTTCGGATCACTACAGGTTCTCAGCTTCACGGTGTTGGGTAGCAGCCAAGTCAAGAGTTGTCCTTGCCCTTCTGAAGCCAGTAAGGATGAATGCTGGCTCCTGCCCCCTCCCAGCTGTGGTCCTACTGTGATCCAGTCAGGTCACCTGGGTGGAGGTTGGATTGCAGGAATATGGAGTGGAAGACTAACAGGACAAACCTGAATGGCGGGGGATGAAGAAGAGGTACACAGAGAAACCGTATTTATACAAAATAATTTATTTTGAAATGTAGCGTTCATAATGGCCAGAGACAGAAGACACGTCCCTGCTGTGAATGGGCAGAGGTGCCCTACCTTTCCACTGTCACTCTTATTAAGAGAACCAGCTGCTCAGCGTCCCCACTGAGTGGAAGGGTCCAGCCCTTCCCAAAGAAAGGAACTAGGAAAGACCCTGGTAAAATGTCTTGAGAAAGAAAGGAGCGGGGGAGGAAACTTCAGTCAGGGTATAAAATAAATAAATTTAATTAAAAAAAGGATGGAAAACTTCTGCCTTTTGGGGACTTCGGTGTGTCCAGGAAGGTCCTGGGTTCCTTTCCCCATCTGTATGACAGGGTCAGAGGGCAGTTTCTGGAGCCCTTAGATGCCTGTATTTCTTAGAGGCTTTGAAGACCTTTTTCTTCCTATTGGCACCTAGTCCTAGAGAGTGAGGGACACATATGTGTCTTTTGTTCTGGGAAACCAACTCCCAAAGCTGCTGTGTCCTTGACCTTGTTAGGTCAGGATCCATCCATGGAGCAAGCGGGACAGTTGGCCTGGACAAATTGTTGACCCTATTTGTTGGCTAGGAGCCCAAAAAAGAGCGTGTCAGTAGTCGAAGTGACAGCGGCAGTGACTACAGATGGCCGGTTAATGCAGCGCAGATTTCCAGTTTTGAATGCACAGTGCACAGGCCAGAGGACCACACAAAATAGCAACAGCAACAGCACAGAAACCAGTGCTACCTGACGCCAGTCTCCAAACCGTGTCCAGCAGCGGGCCAGCCAGCCTCGCCTGGGTTCAGGGGGGTCCTGGATAGGTGCAGGCAGTGTGGGTTCTGCTGGTTTGCTCAGGCCTACATCCACACACACAAAGTCACTGGCCCCTTGGCCAGAAGTGGTGGACAAGGGGCGGCAACACAGTTTGGTGCCCTCAAGCCACACGGGCTCCTCTCTCCGCAAGTGCACTGGCATCTTGGCCTGCAGCTGACGGCTGGTGCGCAGCGCAGGAGCCCCAGCAGCAGGTACAGTGGTGGGCTGTCGGCAGAATGGGCAGGGTACAGCTTCTCTGCCAGGACGGCCTGCAGGCTGGGCAGCTGCCAGCCTAGCCAAACACTCAAGGCAGAAGACATGAGTACAGGAGAGCTCCTTGGGTGTCTTGAAGATGTTGTCATAGCCTGAGAAGCAGATGGAACACTCCAGTGGGGAGGCCACTTTCTCTGAGCCAGGAGTACTGGGGGTCCTGGGGCTTCCAACTGGGCCGGGCGACCTGGGGCTCCCAACTGAGCCAGGGGACCTGGGGCTTCCAACTGGGCCAGGCGACCTGGGGCTCCCAACTGAGCCAGGGGACCTGGGGCTTCCAACTGGGCCGGGCGACCTGGGGCTCCCAACTGGGCCAGGCGACCTGGGCACCGTGGCTGTGGAGCTGCTCTGGCGGTGAGCTGTATACCACACCCGCGGGCCTGATGACATGATTCTGAGCTGTGGAACAGAGACAGGCTGTCACGAGCTGCCCTTTTCCTGGAAAGTCAGTCTGTCACACCAAACTCTTCTCTTCCCCTGCATCAGACCCAAAGATTCCGATGAAGGACACTATCTACCTAAAGACACCTCCAAAATCCCACCCACGGCCAATCTGTAATTTAGCCTGTTCCATTCATTACAAGGTCAACAATCCCACGGTATGCCAGGCATGAACAGTCTAGATGGGTTTCAATAGAGGCCATGTGCTAGGAATGGCCAACGGTGGCTGGACACCTGTTGCCCATCCTTACCCATGCTGATGAGAGTCGCCCACTACGGCTACCATTTATGTCTATGCTCTGCAAGGCTGAACCCATATCAAAGAACACTAGCAGGTCCCATATGGAGAAGTCATCTCCAAAGTAGAGTGACTTAGCTAGGGGCTTCTGTACCAGACCCAACCGGACACTGGGCCCTGGCAGGTTCATGAGCTACCTGTGGCTCTGGAACAAGGAGGAGGGGTTTGAACTTGGTCCCAGTGTGGGTCCCTGATTTATGGCACACATCTGAGTTGCCAGCAGATATATAAGGATTCTGAGGTAGTTGGGAGAACACATGGGCCCATAAAGCTCTGAGAAACAGAGGGCTGAGTTTCTACAGCTGCAGCCTGGAATCTAGGGTTAGCTTGTTTGGTAGGGATAAGGACAAGTGCCAGGGGTTAAAAATGATCCTTAGTCAATGGCCAGAGGAATGAGGCTGCTTCAGACATGCCCACTCACACACTTGTGCAGTCAGAGAGACGGACAGACAGACAGACAGACACACACACACACCTGCCCTGTTCTGCCAATATCAGAATCATACAGATTCCTGTCCAGTGGGATGTGGAAGATTCAGGCCTTCTTTGATCCCTTCCCCTACTTCCCTGGGAGGAATACTAGAAACACACTGACCTCCCCTGGGCAAGGCTGCCACTTCAGGAGCCACGGGCATCCTGATCACAGCACAAGCATTGGCCTTATAACCCATGAAGCCCAGCAGTCACGGCAGAGATAATCCCTCTCCCTGCCTCACCGGTCAACCCTGAGTGGGTGAGTAAGTAAAACGGCTCAAGGATTGCTGAGTCATCACTGGGTCCACGTGAGTCATCTGACATCACTGTGACATCAGGAGGGCTCCAGCCTTCTGGCATTCGAAGTCACCACTTCCTGGAGGCAGCAGCGGCCTTGACAGGTCTGACAAAGTCTATCCTCCTCTGACCTGTGCTGTTTGTAGGATTGATTCCTTGGCACCAGGCCCCACCTTCCGTAAAGGGGCCTCACCCCGAGACTATAGGTGAAAGATTGAGCTGACCTTACCTGGTAGCCAGGAGTCAGCAGTTCCTGAGCATGATCCTCTTCCCTGGTCACAGCAAAGCTCTGCACTTCTAGGCTGACTTGTCCCCCCTCCTTCAGGTCCGGCCCAGCCTCTGCTCCACCTGGCAGGTGTTCCTCCACAGGCCAGCAGCCAACAGCCTTCTGTGGTACCGGTCCAGCTGGCGCACCTCTTCTATGTATGTGGGAATGGAAGGTACGATGTGTGTGTTCATCCAGGAGCTGGCTGACTGCGACAGGTGTGAATTCTCAGGCCATGAGCTTTGAAGCAGGTTTATTTATACCTTCTAGGTAACAGCAGCTGGGGGTGTGGCCCTGAACACGTTAGACATCAGAGATTGGCTGGTCTCTCCCTGGCAGGCCCAGAATGGGTGTGGAGCCAGAATAGGTCCAGGATCAGCACAGGCTGAGTCTTAGGGCTCAGGACTGAGAGTAGACGCTCATGTATTCAGATAAAGCCCCTCTCCTTTGGAAAGCAAGTGTGCCCACCTGGTCCCAAGTGTACTCAGCAGGGACCCTTCACTGAGCCTAGCACACACTCAGACACACTCAATTTGCACTTTTCTGTCCCATCAATGTCCTGCCCTTTCTTCTCCCATCTCACCTATATTCTCACAATTGCTTCATGCAAAACCCTCATCTGCTGCTGCTCCAGAGCACCCTGCTGCCTTTGGGGAACTCCTTGTCCTGGAGCCCAGGAACAGAGGTGAAAGGTCATGGCTAGGCCAGCCTGGGCAACAGCCTAGATGGTGGGTCAAGTTAAGAATATTAGGGATGCTGGGAGGATGTGGTGCACACCTTTGGTCCTGTAAACTCGGAAGGTAGAGGCAGATGAAACTCTGTGAGTTCGAGGCCAGCTGGTTTACAGAGCTAGTTCCAAGACAGCCAAGGCTACACACACACACTGTCTCAAATAAATAAATAAATAAATAAATGAATAGGGGCCCAGGTGTGGGTACCTGCTTGTTCCAGACTTCGTGAAGGATCAGGTGTTTTTGGAAAGAGGGAATCTCAAGAAGTTTTGCCCAGGTGACACAGTAGAAGTGTTGGTCAAAGAGTTGATGGACAAGGAGTGTCTAGGGTTGGGGTAGGGAGTGCCACACTGGAGTGGGATGAACTGGACGCTGTGAGCAGGAGCAGAGGCAGTCCTTGGCCTGCTCCAGGGCCAATGAGCTGAGATGTTCTTGCTGACCAGACGCAATAACACCGGTGGTCTTTTCTCTTCTCCACCCACTTTGGCCAGGCCAGTTCTTCCCTATCACTGAGATTTAGTTGTCTTCTGACCAAGCATAATGAACTGTGGGGTCCTGATATGGGAGCCCCCACATAGGATTGTGGGGAGGGTATGTTGCTGGGAGGGACCTCATGAAGATAAAAGGAATAGCTGTACTCAACTACCCAAAAGTATCCACTGACCACCCAATAGTCCAGATCCCCAAAGGCTGCCACAATTTTGCTCTTAGATATCTTTATGATCAAGGCCAACTCTGAAGGGAGCTAAGATAAGGGGGATTGTGGGAACCTGGGGACAATGTCCTATCAGAGGAAGGGGGCCTGGGCATTGGAAGAATTGAGGTTCTCCTGCCTAATTCTTATGAGTACTAGTAATCAAAAATGGGGCCCAGGGAATTAGGGGCTCAAAGGAAAATGGAGGTCCAGAGAAGAGGTGGGTACCTAAGGAGGGTGTCCTTTGAAGGGTCCTGTAGAGGGCATGAGGTGCTGAAGAGGAAGAGCTGCTGAGGGCCCAATCCACGTGTTCTGTGTAGAGTGTGACTCTGTGTCACAAGCTGCCTCTAGGAAGCTAGAGTCTCAGATGATCTGGGAATAACCTTCAGAGGGCTCCTGGGAATATTCAAGCTCTGAGGTCACCAAGGCTCCCCAGTGAGCAGTCAATGTCCAGAGGCAAGTATGCTGTGAGACCTTAGGAATCTACTAGGCTTCTCCCAGGCCTGACCTCAGAGGAGTCAACTCCCTGCTGACAGAGGGACTAGGCTTTGGAGGCGCTCCAGCCAGTATAGGAAAAACTCAGACCACACTGTCAAGGGCAGTAAGTAGGGTCCATCTTGACCCGATCCTAACCAGCAGGCAAGTCAATGTGTGGGTGTGCACATCAAAATACCACCACCATTGAGTATGTGTATGCATTTGTGTGAGCATGTGCCCATAAGATCAACCTTATTTCCTATCTTCTCACTCTGGGCCCCACAGCCCTAGGGGTTCCCTCTCTAGGAGAGGCTCTTATTGACCCCATCCTTGTACCAAAGTGGTCATAGCTTCTCAGTAGTACCCTAAACCTACCCTGACAGTCCTCACCACCACGGCTACGGACTTGGCTGCAAGTCCCTGATACACTGTTGGGAAACAAGATATGGCTAGTGCATGAGGTCTTTTAAGACTAGGACTTTTTCTTTTAGGTTCTCAGTCTTAGGCCCACCCCTCATCTCTGCTTGCCTGGTGCATCATCTCTAATAACCATTCTGCTGTTTTCCAAACAAGAGATATCGGAGGTTGGCTGCATATTCTCACTTGGTACTGGCTTCCCTGTGGCCAGAATTCCTCCTAAGATCTCAGCTGCTGAGTAGAAACTGGTTTCCCCACAAGTAGGTGAACATTGGTGCTGAGATGGAACAGGCAGACTCTGGGGTAGGGGGTGCCATTTGGTTTGGCATTTTGCCCCATCTTTTAGGGCTGCATGTAGACCTGGTCTGTTTAGACATAAGGCAGCCTGACCAGTGGTGTCCTTCTGTATCTCCAGCAGTGAAGACAAGGTCTCCAAAGACCTATCTGTGGCACCAGGGAGCCAGACTGGCAGCCACTTTCTCATTGCTGCCTTCCGTGGTTGTTGCCAACATCTCTTTCCAATTCTCATTAGAAACCATTCTGGAGAACCCTAGGCTAAAGCATCCAACCTTGAAGATGCTGGGTGAGACTCTGTCTTGTGGCTTATACTACTTCACACTGGTTTCAGAACAAAGGATCTAGGTCTGGAAACCTACACCTTAGCCCCACAGGATCTTACTCCCCACACTTTTCTGAAATACAGCCAAGGGTAGAGGGATGCTCATTTCAGGTTTCTGCAGATGTCTTGGGCCACAGCCCTCTAACCAGTGCATAAAGATAGGCACAGGAGTCACAAAGCAAGGGCAGTGTCTGAGTGTGACACTATGACCTCAGCAACTCTTATAAAGGAAAGTATTTAATTAGGACTTCTGTTTCAAAGGTTTAGTCCATTATCAGCGTGGCAGCACACAGACAGACATGGTGCTGGAGAAGAAGTTGAGAGTTCTACATCCAGGTCCACAGGCAGCAGCAGGAAGAGAAAGTCACTGGGCCTGTAGAGCTTTTGAAACCCAAAGCCCACCCCCAGTGACACACCTCCTCCAGCAAACTCACACTTCCTAATCCCTCTCAAGTAGTGCCTCTCCCTAAAGACTAAGCATTTAAGTATTTAAGTCCATGGGAGGCATTCTTATTCAAACAACCATAGGCAGGACGTCTAGATCCTGTGGTCTCATTCTGCACTCTTTAGTTCCTCTACTAGTCAGCAGACAGACATTTCCACGTCTATGCACGGGCTTTGAGTGAAACCATTGAGCTGGACTCAGGTGGCCGGCACAGAGTCCTACTTTCCCAAAGGGTGCCCCCCACAAAGCCTAGTGATGTATCTGTAGTCTTTTTTTTTTTTTTCCTGGATTTTTGTTTGAGACAGAGTTTCTCTGTATAACCCTGATTATCCTGGAATTTGCTTTGTAGATCATCGGGCTGGCCTTGAACTCAGAAATTCACTTGCCTCTTCCTTCCAAGTGCTAGGATTAATGGTGTTTGCCACCACATCCAACTGCATCTGTAGTTCTCTCTGAAGGGCCATTGATTGGCACCTTCTATCTCAAGTCCTAAGAAGCAGGGTAGTCACCTCATACAAGACAGTGTCCCGAACATGTAGAACAGGCCAAGGCCACATGTGGGGATGGATTGCTGTATTGCCTGTCCCACCAGGTAACAGGTGGCAGGTCCTGGACCTTTGCCTTCCTGGTTCTGTCCCCTGAATATGGCAATGGGGCAGGTGTCCCACACACATTGAATAGATGACCGACCCCTGGATAGTAAGGCTAGAGGAGAGAATATCTAGTCAAGTTTAATTGGTCCAACTTTAAATCACTGCTGCTACCTTAGCCACTGGTTCATGTCTGGGAAAGTAAGCTCACATCCCTATTAATAAGATCAGATGCGGGCCAGATGGTGAAGATGTTAGACACCCTTGGGCCATAGAGGGAGGTGGCATTGGTTAACAGGGCATCTTCTTCCACAGGAGCATATGGCTAATGCTACCAGCCACAGGAGCAAAGACAGGACCGCTGGCCAGCATGCTCTCAACAAGCCCAGCGACACAAATGACCTGCAGTTGGCCAGATACGGGGGGCCTCGTGGGTAAACATTTTGAGTATCCTGCCTGAAAGGTTTGGAGTCTGTCCCTGGGAGACTAGGTTCTGCTGGTCCCTAGAATCAGGAAACCCAGGACATTTAATTCTGCAACTCTCAGAAACGTATGCCTTAGAGGTTAGCAGATAAATTATCAGGCCAATGCTGGAGAAACCTATCTCTGGTACCAGTTTCCAGGTTGTTTTCTTCACTCTCTGGACCTTGGTTTCATTCTTCTTAGCTTGATGGTGATGGAGAGAGTACTGTCTAATGTGGGCTCCACTGGGTGGCCTCCAGATGTTTTGACCATTTGGATCGGCCTGTGTTGAAGCTGTTACAGATGCTGGAACTTTGCTGTGACTCCTGAGGGGCCCAGACTCTTTATGACTTGTTCTTGAGTCCTTCCGTCTCACGGATGGTTACTCCTGTTAAACCACATAGTAAGGGTGGGACAGAAGATCTCATTACATAGAGGTTAGCTCTCCCTAGCAACTGTACGTATCTATCCCTGGGAGCCAACGCTGGCCTATCTTAAGCCCCAGGCCCTTTGTGTGTTGAGTTCACTGAAGGGGAACCTTGGGTCTCCAATGCTGTGCTGTGAAGTCTCAGTTGACCTCTGGGTCAGACGTTGCTGATGTGGGCTTCCACTGTGGAGAAGGCAGAAGGATCCCTGTTCTTGTCTGGGTGCTGCTCACGCCTGATGTATCTTGGCTTCCTCACTGAAATGGGGTTAGAGAAATAGGTAAAGTTCAGATCTTTGCCAGAACTATAGGCTCTCAGGAGCATAGTCAACAGTCACAGAGCACAAAGCCCATGTACGGAGTTTATTCTAGCAAGGGAGTGATGCTTACTAGGCTCCCTTGTGCAATGGTAGTGTCTTCTGACGGAGGCCCCCATGAGCTCAGCTGTTTCCTATCAAGACCCCAGAACTCCACACCCTGGTACCTGGGCCTAGATCAGAGCCCAGCCATTCCTTAAGACAGAAGCACAGACTGTATCTGCATTATTGCTCTATAGGGAGTTGGATGGCACTCTCTAAAGACAGGCTCACCCGAGTTTTGAAGTTTATGAACATAACCCTAACTTGAAAAAAGGTCTGTGCAGATGTGATTCTATTAGAATAGGCTTTGAATCCCATGACTATTATCCTCCTGAGAGGGAGAATACTTTATCTTCAAAAGAAACACTCACTGGTTCTCCACTGTAGAGCAGTAACAGTGAAGACAATGAGTCTGCTCTGGGGCTTAGAGCTGTGCAACTATGGTCAGTCAACCTACCTGTGCTCACGGCACCTCCTGCCCAGTGGATCATAACTGCACTCAACCTACCTGTGCTCACGGCACCTCCTGCCCAGTGGATCATAACTGCACTCAACCTACCTGT